AACCAACCAACCAACCAACCAACCAACCACACACACACACACACACACACACACACACACACCAACACACACACAACCAACCAACCAACCAACCAACCAACCAACCAACCAACCATCAATAGTGCTGGAGATGGCCAGCACATTGCTCGGAGTACAGGCACCCTTGCTCAAGGACGCGCTGCTCACGCGAATCATCGCCGTTGGTTCAGAGAAGTTGGTCAAACCACTCACTCTGGACGAGGTGCGCCCGTTCTCCCATTCGGTTTCGATTGTGGGCGATCGCTTGGGTGCTGACTGACATCGGCGTACCTACCAGGCCACGGACGCTCGCGACACGCTGGCCAAGACCCTCTACGACCGGCTGTTCGGTTGGCTGGTGGAGCAGATCAACAACTCCGTCAAGGGCTCCTTCACCGAGCAGAGCCCGTTCATCGGCATCTTGGACATCTTTGGATTCGAGAACTTCACCGTACGCCTCGCCTCGAACGTTTGCATTTTCGTTGACGGTCTGACTGTGCCGGCCGCCAATCCAATAACAGGAAAACAGCTTCGAGCAGCTGTGCATCAACTTCACCAACGAGGCGCTCCAGCAGCACTTCAACAACCACATCTTCATGCTCGAGCAGAAGGAATACGAAGCGCAGGGTCTCAAGAATTGGAACGCCATCACCTTCAACGACAACCAAAGGTGTCTCGACCTCATCGAAGGCGTACGCTCTTCTTTCTTTTTCGTTCTTGTTCTCTTTGCGTGACTCGCTCACTCTCACGAACCGCTCCGCCTTGGCAGTCGACGCCTCCTGGCATTCTGCAGCTGCTGGACGAGGAGGCGCGGTTCCCCAAGGGCTCCGACGACAGCTTCCTGGCCAAGGTGACCAACAACCACAAGAAGAACGCGCATTTCGAAACGCCGCGCCTGCGGGGCCGTTCGCCGAGCTTCATCGTCAGACACTACGCCGGCGACGTATGCTATTCCCCCCTTCTTGCTGGTCTTCCTTGGAAAAGAAACAAGCCTCAATAGGGTGTGTGGTGGTCGCATTGGGACTACAGGTGATGTATCAGGCGCCGGGGTTCCTCGACAAGAATCGCGATCCGCTCGGGCCGCTCATCATCGGCTGTTTCAAGAGCTCCACATTTGCTCTGCTTCGTCATCTCTTCCCTGAGGACGTGAGCGCTCCGCGTGCGGGCCGCAATGCGCCCAAGACCATCGGCATAGCCTTTAGGGTACCACCGCCAGACACACAACACACAACAAGCACACAACACACAGCACACAACACGCAACACGCAACACGCAACACGCAACACTGAATAACAATGTCCGACTTGAACTGGCTCTGATGTCGATGTTAGATGCAACTGAGAACGTTGATGGAGCTGCTGACGCAAACGGAGCCGCATTACATCCGCTGCATCAAGCCCAACATGTTCAAGATCCAGCGATGCTTCGACGCGGCGTTGGTCTTCCATCAGCTCAGCTACGCCGGCATGATGGAGACCATCAAGATCCGGTACGTCTCCGCCCCACGCCCCTTCTCTCTGCTCATAGCGCGCGATCGGTGGCTTACATCATCATCATCATGCGCGCCCGGGGGTTGGCCGCACGCAGCAAATCAGGATTCCCTATTCGTGAGACGTTTGAGAGATTTTGGAAAAGCTACCGCATACTCGTCAAACGCACGCGTATGGTGCTGACCCCGGGCGGTCTCATGGGGTGTGCCGACTACGGCGCCGGGTGCAGGCACGCGCCCTCCACCAACCACAGCGAAGAGCCGCCGCGCGCAGCGTTTTTTTGCAGTTGTGAGTCTCACATCCTACCATCACAAACTGGTCACCATTCAACACTACAGGAGGCTGGTGGAAGACCTGATGGAGGAGAATAGTGGACTCCTGCTGCCAGACCAGTACTTCATCGGCAGCTCCAAGGTGTTGCTGAAGGACGATCAGGTTCGTACTGCGGCGACGTTTTCCCCACCTCCCCGCCACACAAGCTAAACGGAGTCGTGGCGCAGTTCTCCATTCTCGACCTGGCCCGGAAGGCTGCTCTGAAGGACTTCGGCCATGTCTTGTTTCTGGTGCGTCCCCTGTGAATTTGTTGGACCCTCCTCGCTCTTTTTCTTGCGTGCTAGCTTGCTAACTCTCCACCTTGTGCGATGCAGGCCATGCGCGCGCACCACGACAGGCAGCTGTTCCTGCGTAAGCGTCGCGCTGTGTCGAAGATCAGCAGGGCATTCCGGGCATACCGTGCGCGTTCCCGATTCGTCAAGGCCAAGCGAGCCGCCCTCAAGATTCAGGTACGCCACAGCATATCTGAATCTTGTTGTGTGATGGCCGGACTATCATCATCATCATCATCATCATCATCATCATCATCATCATCATCATCATCATCATCATCATCATCATCATCATCATCATCATCATCATCATCATCATCATCATCATCATCATCATCATCATCATCATCATCATCATCACCATCATCATCATCATCATCATCATCATCATCATCATCATCATCATCACCACTGATCTTCCTTTCTTGCTGTGGTCCGCCATGCAGACCTGGTACCGCATGAAGATGCTACGAAGTAAATACTTGAAAATTAAGAAATCCATTCTGGTGGTCCAGGTTTGCCCATACCCTTCCCAATCACCTTCTTCCTGTTTCTCTGATTCAACTTCTTTGTTTGTGTGCGTTGCGTGTTGCGTGTTTGTGTTTCGCAGACGCGATCGCGAATGGTGCGGTTGAGGCGGCCATTCAAGGCGAAGCTGCTCGAGCACATGACTGAGAGGAAGAGACTGGCCGCCCCACCCGCCCTGGCTACCGCCCCAGTCGGCGCATCTGCTGCTGATCTGCCGCCGCCCGTCTCGCGGCACCCCGAGCGCCCCTCGATCGACCACCGACCCAGAGCGATGGCTCAACTAGGGGGAGCCCCGGCCGCACCTCCGCCTGTACCTCCCCCTTCTCCCCCGCAAGAACTGTTACACGGTCGCACGCGACTCACTGCCGACATCTCCACTACAGTACAAGCCGACGTCGTCGGTGGAGGAGCAGGCTCGGCCCCAGCGCCATGCGGCGGGCGTGGACTCGAGCGCGGCCACGATTCGCCGCCTGGAGGAGGAGCTCGTGGAAAGAGACCGCGCGATCGCCCAGATGCAGGCCGAACTGACTGCCATGCGCATGGCCCTCGTACTGGTCAGCCAGTCGCCGCGGACCGACGCGCCAGGCTCGCCGCGCGTGCTGGCAACACTACCTTCCGCCGCTCCCTTGGCACCATCGCCGCTCGGAATCGCCTCCGCTGGGCCAACGCCCCCAGCACCCCCGGCCGCGCCAGTTGCAGCACCGCCCGCACCGCTACCCCGCGATCTGCCGGCAGCGCCCCCGCCGCCAGCACCACTACCCCCGAATCCACCGTCAGCCCCAGCGGCACCTGCGCCTCCAGCACCGCCGCCGGCACCACTACCCCGCAACCCGCCATCAGCCCCGGCTGCGCCGGCGCCTCCACCCGCACCTTTGCCACGCAACCCGCCATCAGCGCCTGCGCCTGCGCCTCCACCGCCAGTATCTGCGCCTGGGCCACCGCCGCCGGCACCGCCACCCCGGAATCCACCGTCAGCCCCAACAGCGCCGCTTCCGCCACCGGCGAGCGGGCCTCCACCACCGCCGCCGGCACCACTGCCTCGGAATTCACCATCGGCCCCGGCGGCCGGTCCTGGTGGCAATGGTCCGCCGCCGCCGCCGCCGCCGCCTCCGGGCGCTTCTGCCCCCATGGCATGGCGGAGGAAGTGACTGTGTCCGTACACCGCATATCTCAGCCGATCTCTGGGACCTGTACAATCAACCAAACCACCACACCAATGAACTGAGTTATTTTGCGTGCTGGTGATTAAGGTTGGCTGGTTCAGCTCAAAAGTATTTCATTTTTGCTAACGTTTCGGACACAGCACGACCCACACAAGGCAAGTCTATTCCCTCGCAGCTCTGCCACCATGAACAGGTTCATTGGCGGACTCTCTGCGCGCAAGCCCATGAAGGCCACCAGCGGTCCTGGTGAGGGTTCGATCCCCCCCCCAATACGCATACATTTTCAGAGAACTGCCATTTGCACAAGAGAAAGTCTGGTGGCGGCTGCCAGCGTGAAAGATGGAGTTTGAGGGACTGAAAGTGCGCAAGCCCATGCGGGCACCGGGGCCGTTGGCAGGTTGTGCACATGTGTAGGCTGCCTACACATGGCTGTTCGTTGGTTAGTTGACACTACTAACCTCAGCACCGTCATGTGCACACAGGCACCACCCCCGACCAGCTGCTCGACCTGATGCCAGGTAAGTCCCCCCCCCGTTCATTGGTTCACTGAACAGTTGGGGCATTGCTGGTAGTTGGTGCTCTGCGCCAGACATGCTCACCCTCTCCCCTAGACATGCAAGGTCGTGTCATTGGCGGCCTCAACGCGCATAGGCCCCTGCAGGCACCCGTCACGGGTAACGTACACCCCCCCCCCTTCCTGGGCTTGGGAACCAAATTTGTTTCTTCCTGCGGCAGAAGAGCAACATGGCCAAACGCATTTCTGTCGGTGGGCTGTCAGCGCACAAGCCACTGCGAGCACCTGCCCATTCCCAGCCAGGCAGCTTCTCATCTCTGCTTCTGACAGCGGGCTACACCCTCCAACAGCTAACACATCTGTTTGTTGTTGTTGTTGGTGGTGGTGGCAATCACCAGGGCCGCCTCTGGCTGCCTCCACGCTTCCACCCAGCTGCACCACAGCCGGTACCACCCTCTTTTTTTTTATTTGTTTTTTTGAGGTATCGCGTACATTGGTGTTGAAGTGAAAATGAGGACCTTGAGCTTCCCTGAATTTCTTGTCGGGCCGTTGCTTTTTCTTTGTCCCAACCCGAGCACCACGCTGTCGCGGTGGCCTTGCCCTTGTACGTGCCCCTGAATTGTTTGGACAAAAAGTTGGACACAAGCACATGATGAAACGCCTGGTTGCTGGAGGGCTGGCGGCACGCAAGCCCATGGCCGCTAATGCTGCCCCCGTGTCTCCCACTGCTGACTCAGGTGCTGACCCAGCACAACACCTCTGGCGTGCAGTCTTTCGAGAAAACAACACCCACCCCTCTAGTAGCTCCACCACCACACGAAAAATGGGAAATCGCATGTCCATCTCTGGGCTGTCGGCCCACAAAGCACTTGACGCTTCTCAGTTGATGTCCAATGCGACAGTCGGTGGTGAGGTGTTAGTTTTGTTTTTAATTATTTTTTTATAATTTTATTGTTGCATTCAAACAATTGGCTTAGGGACTAACTCGAGCGATATGTTCACTCACGCCTCGCGCAGGAACTTCGCCCAGCGTGTTCCCAGATGGAGGTGATACCCCAGTCCAGTCTTGCAGTTGGGCCAGCACTCACCTCTGATACGCACCATCGTGCAGGAGGTCACATGATGATGCAGCAGCCGTCATTCGCAGGACTTAGCGCGCGAAAGCCCATGAGTGCTCCCAGTACGCCGCCAGCCCGCGACCACTCTTTTTGATGCTTTTTCGAACAACACCGCCGCCTAATGATCTTGTTTGTGCCCAACAACGCCTTGATTGCGATCAGAGCAACAGGCCGCACCGTCTGGGCTGAATGTTCGGAAGCCCATCAGCGTTGCCTCTGGTAAGCGGCAGCTGCCCACACGACACACACGACACACCGCTTACTTGTCACATTCCCAGTGCCAGCAGCTACTCCGCAGATGTCGCAGAACAAAGCGTTGAGCGGGCTGGCCGTCCGAAAGCCGATCGACCACATGATGATGTACTCCTCGCCTTCTCCGTTATGACGGTCTGACTCTCCATTCTGCTCACATATTAATTGATATGTATGGTGACCACCAGGACGAACTGCTTAGTGCATACGATCAATCCGCGGAGAGCCCTCAGCGCGGCAGCGCTCAGCGAGCCTGCGACTGCAACCTCGACGTCCAACGATACCTTCGGCCAGTTCGACCTCGGACAGCTACTGCAGCAGGCCCAGTACCAGCCGCAGCCGCAGTACGAGCAGAAGCCGGCCTACAGTGTGGAGATCAACCAGCAGGCGATGGGCTCGCAGGACCTGTCGCGGGTCACCCAGCTGCTGGCCTACCTGCCGGCCGTACTCAGCGACCCGATGCTGGCTCTGGAGCTGAACAAGATCCAGGAGCTGGTCAACCTCGGCTACCTGCAGTGGGAGCAGGCCCTCAAGTGGGCGCAGGAGCTGAGCGAACGGGCCGGCAGCGTAAACGGCAATGCCCAGCAGCAGCAGCAGCAACTGCCCGCGGTCAACATCAACATCACCAACAGCACGCCTGCGTCTTACTCGGCGTCGCCGCTCCACGACCTCGCCTACGCCTTGCCCGCGAATGCCAACAACACCGAGCTGCAAGTCGAATCCTTCGTATCGTCGAGTTACTCGTATGTCTCCTGCCACTCTGTCGTGTCTTGGGTGCGTCGTGCGTCGTGCCGTGAGCTCTTACGATTGTGTCGTGTCGCCGAGCGCAGAGTGAAAGTGTGGGGAGGCTACGGCGGGGTGTACATGGAAGGGAGTGCCCCGCAGGCGACCTCGTCGCGGCCCAAGCTGCAGCTGAAGCAGGCCAACAGCCGCAACGTCCGCATCTTCATCTCGTCCACGTTCAGGTGCGTCCTCCTTCTCGCACCGCCCAGTCGGTTCTCAGTCGGTTGTGAAACTTACTGACGCTCGCCGCCCACAGGGACATGGAGATGGAGCGCGAGGAGCTCATGAAGTGGGCCTTTCCGCGCCTGCGCAAGTTCTGTAGCGACCGCGGCGTGTTCCTCACGCAGGTCGACTTGCGCTGGGGCATCACCGAGGACCAGTCGCAGGCTGGCGACACTATCAACATCTGCCTTCGCGAAGGTACGCACGTCTGCGGCACTGGCCGCCGCCACACAATCGCTGACCTTGGCCGTTCGTTGTGATCGCAGTGGACCTGTGCCGGCCCTACTTCGTGTGTATGTTGGGCGAGCGTTACGGCTGGGCGCAGCCGGATGAGGCATGCAGGTACTGGGAGGTGGCTGTGGCATGTCAGGAATGCATCAGGTCTGTGCTGACACTGACCCCTCCACACCACTCAGTGACGCGTTGCTGTCGAAGACGTTCGAGAGAGCCGCGCAGACCTTCCCGTGGATCGCCAACTACAAGGACCGTAGCATCACCGAGCTCGAGGTACTCTTGCCGGCGTCAAGACAATTTCTGACCAGAGAACTAAGGTGTGACTTTGATCGCACAATTCAGATCCGTCATGCGCTGTTGAACGACTCGACGGACAAGGCGATGGAGCGGTGCCTGTTCTACTTCCGCCAATTGGCGCAGGGCCAGAGCACGAAGGGGCTGGACGCCCGGGACGTCAAGCTCCAGGCCAAGCTCGGCAAGCTCAAGGACGAGATCAAGAGCGCCGGCGCACGCGTCACCCAGTACAAGAGGTAACCAGCCACGGGCCTGAAGCTGGTGATCTGGTGATGCACAGGCTGACACCACCACACGCACCACCACACGCACACGCAGTCCGGCGGAGATGGCGTTGAAGATGGTGGAGGCGCTGGAGGCGGCGATCGACCAGGACTTCCCTATCACCGACGCGCCCACGCCTCTCCAGCGTGAGCGTGCGGCGCACGATGCCTTCGCGGCCAGCAGAGCGCGCGTGTATGTCGGCCGAGGCCACTACTTCGACCACATCGACAAGCACCTCAGCACCCATCCCTCCAAGCCTCTCGTCATCTGCGGTACGGCCCTTCGTCACTCGAGTGTGCGTGTGTCGTGTTGTGCGGTGGTGCGTGTGTTCGCCTTGTACGTGCGCTGACTTGTGGTGCGCTGGGCGGGAAGGCGAGAGCGGTTCGGGAAAGAGCGCGCTCGTGTGCAACTGGGCGCTGGGCTACGTGGAGAGATACAAGACGGAACGGCTGGTGATCACCCACTACATCGGCAGCACGGCCCAGAGCACCGATCTCGCTGGCCTCCTGCGCAGGTTCGCCAATTGAACCCGCACAAAGAGCGGACAAAAGCATCGAGGTCGATCCTAATGGCTGCTGTGGCATGTGTGGCTGCAGGATCATGGGCGAGATCAAGAGCTTCTACGGCGTGCCGGACGAGATCCCGACCGACCTGCGGTCGCTCATCGAGGCCTTCCCCGACTGGCTCACCGAGGCCGCCAAGCGCGGCGGGCTGCTCCTCGTGCTCGACGCTCTCAACCAGCTCGAAGACCGTGGCAAGGTTCGTGTGTGCCGTGTTATGTGTCTGTCGTGCACATGCGCCATGTGCACTCCTGAACTGGTGTTGTCGGTGCAGGGGGAGGTGCATGATCTGGCCTGGCTGCCGCGCGAGTACCCGAACGGCGTGCAGGTGGTGGTGTCCACTCTGCCCGGCCGCTGCATGAACACCATCCAGCAGCGCGGCTGGCACACCCTGCGCGTGGAGCCCCTCAACGAGACCGAGCGACAGGTGCGCCACACGTCCTCCAGAAGCAACCTGCGCCCCGCCAAGCTGCCCCACTCACTCTAAACCCGGCTGCTGCTTATCTAGGCTCTGGTGCTCGAGTACATGGCCCTCTACGGCAAATCCTTCACCCCGGCCCAGCTGGCGCGCATCATCAAGGCCGAGCAGTGCCAGAACCCGCTGTTCCTCCGCACTCTGCTCGAGGAGATGCGGTAAGACACACGACACACACGGCACACGACACATGATACGACACGTTTTGCGTTTGGGCGTATCTCAACGACGACGAATGTCGACGCAGGGTGTTTGGTGTGTACGAGGGCCTGGACGCCAAGATTAGCCACTACCTCACGGCTCGCACCCCGCCGGACCTCTTCAACCTGGTCTTTTCCCGCCTCGAGAGCGACTTCGAGACCAAGAACGCCGGCAGCAGTGCGCGCCCCCCCCCCATACACCACTTCTCTCGAGGCTCTTCTTGTCAGTCGACCGAGCATTCCTCACCGCCGTCACGGCGTTGCTGGTCAAAAGGCGGCAAGTCGCTGCAGGGCCTGGTCGGCGATGTGCTGTCCCTGATCTGGGTGAGCAGGCGCGGCCTCACCGAGAGCGAGCTGCTCGACATCCTCAACATCCCGCACTCCCTCTGGTCGCCGCTCCACTTGGCAATGGTTCGTCACCCCACCCCCCCAGCGGCTAACCTGACACCATGATCATGAGCGACTGATGCGAGTTTATCGTCGCGTCGTCGTGGTTGTTGTCGTCGTTGTCGTCTTCCAGGAGGAATCGCTGGTGAGCAGGTCGGGCTTCCTGACGTTCTTCCATGACTACATGAGGCAAGCCGTAGAGGCACGCTACCTGCGGCCCCAGAACCGCTACAACCAATACCGCATGCGCATCGTGTCCTACTTCAACCGGTAACTCCTCACAGCCGCGACCAACAACACGCAACACACATAGTTAACCCTTTTGTGTCATGCTCTAGGCCCTCGGCGGTGGGCGTGGAGAAGCGCAGGTGCGAGGAGGTGCCCTACCAGCTCATGTCGGCCAACGACTTCGGCCAGCTCGCCGATTGCATCACCGGTACGACGATTCCTTTTATTAGTCAATTTAATTTGCCACGAAATTCATGGGGCGGATGGCCGAGCGGTCTAAGGCGACAGTTTAAGGCACTGTTATCTTCGGATGCGTGGGTTCAAATCCCACTCCGCTCACTCTCTTTTTGCTGTGTCATCTCTACGCGGCGCCGTCGTCTCGGTAATGATTGGTTTCGTCGGGCGCACGGGCAGACCTGGAGATGTTCAAGCTGCTGTCGGCGGATGAGTACAAGTTCGATCTGTACCAGTACTGGCAGGAGGCCACCAAGCACACGAGCGTGGAGGACCGCTTCGTGGCGAGCCTCGCCGAGTACGAGCAGGCGCAGCCCGCCCCGAACGAGCTCGCCGCCATCTTCAACACGGCCGGCCAGTTCCTGCAGGTTCGCCGGCGACCACGTATTCGTGGGCTTACCCGCTTGAGGCGCTGATGGCATTCCTCTCTCTCTCTCTCTGGTGATTTGTGGCGCCTTTGGCAGGACATTGCCGCGTTCGATAATGCGGAGATGTACTTCAAGCGAGCGCTCGAGATCTCAGAGACCATCTACCAGCACGACCCGTGGCACTCGGACGTTGCCAGCAAGCTCGACGCGCTCGGCTACCTCTACCGCTTGCGGTACTTGTCCCCCAAATCGAGTTGAACGAGACACACACGCGGCCGCGCACATCGATACGACACCTCGAGCTCACCACCGCTCACGCACATGCGCGCGCGACGTTCACTAATGTCTGATGGCGCTGGGGCGGGTTCTCTGCAGAGGCAAGTACGCCCTGGCTGCTCCGCTGTACGAGAGAGCCATGAAGATCCGAGAGAAGACGCTGGGCCCTGAAAACCCCGAGTTCGCCTCCTCGGTGAACAGTCTCGCCATCCTCTACCGGCACCAGGTACGCACCTGCCGTGCGAATGCCACTTTCGCTATCACTCAAGGCTGACCACCACCACTACCACGACTACACTATTTTAAATTCTCATTATTTATTGTTGTGTGCGCGACCCACCAACAGGGGTTGTATGATAAAGCAGAGCCGTTGTACATTCGCGCGCTTCGCGTGCGCCAGAAGATCTTTGGTGAGATTCATGCCGACATCGCCCAGAGCTTCAACTCGCGTACGTGCTCCGCCCCGCCACCTCACCTGCGACTCGGCGCCCGCACCACCAGCTGACACGCACGCGTGCTTGCGCCGATGCCAGTGGGCTGCCTGAACCAGGACATGGGTCGCTTCAAGGAGGCCGAGGACTATCTCCTTCGCGCCATCTCAATGAGGGAGGACCCTCGTGCGGGCCGAAACCACCCCGACTGGTACCGCAGTTCGTGTGCCGTGTGTGTGTGTGTGTGTGTGTGGCCGTGCGTGTCATGTGTGCGGTGTCCATAACTCAACATGTGGCATTTGTAATGCACGTTTTAGTGGCGATGTCGCTGGCCAATCTTGGTGGCCTGTACATGGATCAGTCGCGCTACGACGAAGCCCACCCGCACTACGCCCGCACCCTCAACATCTACGAGAGCGTCTACGGCCCGGTCCACCCGTCCGTCGCTCAGTACGTAGTTGCAGACCGCGTTGTGACATAGTCGTGACACGGCACTCACTCGAACATGTTGCACGCTGTCGATGACAGGACCTTCAACTCGATGGCGGGCTTGGCGCAGGAGGCCGGCAAATATGAGGAGGCGGAGGCCCTGTACACCAAGACCCTGGCCATCCGCGAGCGTCTGCTGGGCGACTCGCACCCGGAGCTTGCCCTCACCCTCAACGATTTCGCCGTACGACACGACACGACCAACGACACGACACGACACGACCAACGACACGACACGACACGACCAACGACACGACACGACACGACCAACGACACGACCAACGACACGACCAACGACACGACGCAAAAACAACACACGGCTGACGCGCGGTGGTCGTGTGTGGATGTCGACAGGTGTTGTACGCGAGGCAGGACAAGTACGACATGGCCGAACCGCTCTACCAGCGCGCGTTGAGCATCCGCGAGCGGGTCATCGGCGTGCACCACCCGGATTACGCCCAGTCCCTCAAGTAACTTCCTTTTCACCCCAGCACACGCAGCACACACAGCACGCCGTGCGCGATGATTGAAGCGTTCTGCCGGCTCTTGCTAGAGCTTTTCAAGACTCACTGGCTCTCTTTCTCCGTCATCTGCAGCAACATTGGCTCCCTGTACCAGGACATGGGCCAGTACACCCGCGCGCTGCCGCTCTTCGAGCAGGCCCTCAAGATCTGCGAGGCCGCCTTTGGACCTCGCCACATGGACGTTGCCAGTACGTACTGCGTGTCGTGTGTCTTGGGTGTCGCGTGTCGCGTGCCGGCGTGGTGCTCACCTCAAGTTCGCCATGGCAGGCTCGTTGACGAACATCGCGGGCTGCTACCAGTTCCTCCGTCGGTACAACGAAGCGATCCCGCTCTACCGCCGAGCGCTGGAGATCTACGAGGACCTGCTGGGGCCGATCCACGCCGACGTGGCGGTGACTACCAACGATTTGGCCGTCCTCTACTTCACCACGGGCAACACCGACCAGGCCGAGAAGCTCTACAAGAAGGCCCTCCACGTCTACGAGAAGATCTTCGGCCCTCACCACCCGGACGTCGGCCAGGTACGCCAACTCGCCTTTTTTGTTCTTTCGCTTCTGTGCACTTGACACACCCCGCACGCGCCAATGGCACGACACGCGCATATCCCACTGTCGCCTTTTATCTGCGGTTTTGATTGGTTGTTCTGTTCTCTTGGAGGATCTCCTGCCGTCGGTTATATTATAATGTGATTATTATTATCTGTTTTTATATTATTTATTTGTGTTGTTTTTCTCACGGTGCGTGCGGCAACAGGCGCTGGCCAACCTGGGCGAGTTCTACGTGAGCCAGCACAAGCGCGGGGATGCCCGGCAGTGCCTCGAGCGGGCCGCCGCCATCTACGCGCAGACCTTTGGCGAAGGCCACGCCCGCACTCAGGCGGCCCAGCTGGCCCTCTCCCGCGTCGCTTGATCCTCCACTTCCCGCCCACCTCCCACGCAACCCATGTTGCACAAACGTTTTATCATTTTTTACACCAAAAGTAAACAGTTATCAATTCAGGATGTAGTCGAGGCGAGACTTTGTTCGCCTGGTGGTGGTGCGGCGGTTGTGGTCGTTGGTCCACGGGGGATCGGCGTAGTCGTGCGGTTCGTCCTGGACTGTTGGCTGCTGCTTGTCCTGGTCTCCGCTGTCGCTTTCGCTGTTGCTGCCGCCGACGCGCCGCGCCTCGTGACCTTCCACTCTTTTCCGCTTGAGGTTGTGGTCGATCGTGGGGCGATCGCCCGCCGCCTTCTGGGCCTTGCGGGTGGTCTTCCTCTTGGGCCGCAGCACTGGCGGCAGAGGCTGTGTGGCCGCGGCCAGCAGAGAGTGCAGGTAGTACAGGCCCTCCCACGACAGCCCGGCCGCTGGTATCGGGTCCTGCCGCTGCGGTAGGCAGTGGTGGTAGTGGTGTTGGGCATTTGGAGGAGCCGGCAGCAGCCCATAAGTGTCGAAGTGATAAGGGAGCGGAGCGGGGGCCTGGGGAGGCGGTAGGGACGGCCTCGAGGCGGCGTAGTACGCCGACCAAGGCGAAGCAGATTGATGGGCGGTGTACGTCTGCTCCGGCTCGAGCTGGGAGGTCGACGGAGAAGTTGGAGTTGAAGACGTCAAGACAGGCCTTGGGACGACCGCTGGCGATGAGGGTGGGGAGGAGCCGGAGCATTCTGTTGCTGTCTGGGTGAGGTTGTGATAGTACATGGCCTGCACATCGTTGCGGACAAGCCGTCTGGTCTCCACCCCAGGAAAGATCTGGCCACCGGAAAATGTTATCTAACTCCTCGGCCCGAGCCCATTGACAACTAAAAAGCGGTTTTGCAGCACGTTGGAGGTGGTGATGTGTACCTTCTTGAGGAACTTGCCAAAGGAGGCTGAAGTGGTGGATTCATAGTGGTGCTCGGCGCAGAAGTCGGCGTAGGCGCCAAAGACGTCCTTCTTGGGCACGCAACAGCCCTTCTTCTCCTGGAACGCGCTTAGGAGCCTGTGGTGTATGTTGGTTGTTGATGAGTCATCGCGAAGGTGACTGTCCGTAGTAGGCACGATCCATCCACAGACCGAAAGGCGCAGATATAAAGCGACAAGGCGTTGATGCTTTTGGAGGACAGAGACAGAACCGCCTCGACAGACAAAGCACATCCAGCTCAAGGATTGGCCACCAAACAAAAATCAACAACAGAAAACGGAGGGTGCGGGAGTACCAGTTCTTGATGTCGGGCAGCGCTTCTTCTTTGCTCTTGAGGAAGATGGGCGCCGACATCTTGGCTTGTGCTTGGCCACAAGGAGAGAGATGCAGTGAATTATCACCTTCGTACCGAGAGGAACAGTTGGTGGTTTGTGTCCGGACGCACAGACAACCCGCTGAGAATGCGTATCAGAGGGATCATCAGCTCGCTAACGGCCAGTTATATAAACTGTCATCAATCGTCCATTGGCCAAGCAGTAAGCAAGATAAGGAAATTTTCCACTTTGGGAGATCCTTATACTGTGCAACCCGTGTGGTCCGCCAATAGGGCTGCTTGGTGTTCAAAGTATGTTGCGTTGTGGGTCGACAAAACAATTGGGGATTAATTGAGGATAAAATCAAGGCGGGACTTCTTCTTCCGCCCGCCAGAAGCCGCGCAGTCGTTGGTGGTCGGCGAAGAAGATGAAGAAGAACCGGAGGCGGCGGCGGCGGCGTAGCTGTCGTGGTAGTCGTGCGGCTCGTCCTTGATCGTCGGCTGCGGCTTGTCTTCCTCACCATCCTCGCTGGGCTTTTCCCCTTCGTACTGGTACTCGCCGTCTCCTTGCTCTCCTCTCCTCCGCTTGGCGCCCGCTGCTGCTCCATCGGGCAGCCGCCCCCGTTGTTTGAGCGCAGTCGCCGTCGCTGGGGCGAGTGCGTGTCGCGCAAAGACGGGCGAGGGCAGGGCCGTGGCCGCTGTGGTGGTGGTCGACGTGGCAGTGGTGAAGAGCATCGGTGGCGAGACTGCCGACAGTGACGACGGCCGCGACTCGAGCTGCTGTTGCTGCTGGTGATGGTGGTGGTGGCTTTGCTGAAGCTCCTGGAGGTGCTGGTGGTGCGAGGCCGCGGCGGCGGCGGCAGCGAGGGCCATGGCCGAGTGAGGCAGCGCGGCCATAAGCGGGTGCAGGTAGTCCACGCCCGCCCAGGCGGAGGCATCGTAGGTCGTCGACGATGACGATGACGACGAAGCGAAGGCCACGCCGGGAAGCTGGAGCGCCGCAGCAGCGAACGACGCGGCGGCCACGTCGCTGGGGTGTTGGGCGCTCATCGTTGACATCAGCTGGTAGTAAGGGTGGTGCTGGTACTGGTACTGCCACGGCTGCGGCTGCGGTGGCTGCTGCTGTGGGTAGTGCCCCTGGCGCTGCGATGTCGGCGACACGCCGTGGCTCGGCAGCTGGCGCTCCTCTTTAATGCGCCGCATGCTGGCCACCACCAGGTCGTCGATGTGGTGCGGCGCCTCTCCGCTGCTGCTCAGCCGATGGCCCTCGTATCCCTGTTCTTCATCGTCCCCGCCTCGGCGCGGCCGTGTCGGCGACAGACTGCGTCTACGGCGAGCGTCGGCCGACCACGACGACGACAACGAGGGCGAGGGCGAGGGCATGGGCGACTGGAAGGTGGGCGGGGCCGGCAGCGTGGACGACGGCGCGTGGTGGTGTGTGTGGGCCGCGGCGGTGGCGAACTCGCCGAACATCGCGTGCGACGGCGAGGCCGAGCGACACAGGCGCTGCTGCTGGGCCGCGTGGTGATGGTCGAGCTGCGGCCTATGGGCCTGTGGGTGGTGGAAGCGCGGCTCGGTTGGCTGCTGAGACTCGAGCGACGACGTCCGGCGGCGCCGGGCGGCCTGTGGTGACGATGAAGACGATGAAGAAGAAGAGGCGTAGATAGAGTGCGCCGGCGTCGATGACGACAGACCGGTCGAGGGGATGGGCGCCGTGGAGGAGGACTGCACGCTGGTCCACCGCCGCGAGGAGGCCGGTGCGGCTGTCGAGGTGAGGTTGTAGTAGTACATGGCCTGCTCGTTGTTGCGGATCAGCCGCCTGGTCTCCACCCCAGGGAATATCTGTGTGTGCCCACCACAACAAGCACACGAGACGCAACCAAATGTGGGTTAACTAAGAGAGGCCGCAAGCGTGTGGCACATGCGCGAAGAAGTGACATAAAAAACAGGAATCGGGGCGCTCGCTGATTGGGGGGATTCAAACAATGGGAAACCAGGTGGGACAAGCTCGAAGAGACCCGGTTTTTGGCCAGCCGGGCAAATACAAGAAAGGACAAAAGCTCCCGCTATTTTAAAATATATTATCTGTTAATTTGGTTATAAAATAACTTTGCGAACTCCTGGGGAGAAATGTGTGACAAGATGTCGCGGGAGCGTAAAAGAAAGATGCGAAAGAAGATGGTGACGGTAGGGATGTGGTGAGGTGGTGGTACCTTCTTGAGAAACTTGCCAAAGGAGGCCGGGGTGGTGGATTCATAGTGGTGCTGGGCGCAGAAGTCGGCGTAGGCGCCAAAGACATCCTTCTTGGGCACGAAGTAGCCCTTCTTCTCTCGGAATGCGCTAAGGAGCCTGTGTTGTTGGATGTTGATGGTGTCGCGGGTGTTGATGTGTGGTAGATAGATGCAGTGGTGGTGATGACAACGAACGACAAAACGAATGAGATGTACATTAGTTCAGTTACCAAGGAGGGATGTGGCCCAGCCCAAGCAGATAGGAATGGATGGGGAGCTGATAACAAGAGCTCCCCATCGAGTAGCAAGAAAGAAGCGGATGATGTGAGGTTCTCGCTCCAGAATGGGTCGCGCTCTGCCCTCTGTTCGTATTGGTGTGCGACCAGGTGGGAGCGAGAACCGAAAAAGAAAAAGAACGAAGAGATACTTGTGTGGGAGGAGTTGGGGAGTAAGATATAGGGAGATGGATATGTCGTTCTTTGTGAGAAGAGAGAGCCGACCACATCTCGAACGACAACAACACAAGAACAACAAGATGGAAAATAAAATATGGACGATGGATTCGAGGCAGCACCAACACCTCCGCCTTGAACGTGCATCAACACCACACCAACACATCGACCAACAGACCTAGAGCGGTGACACTAGGGATGCGGGCGTACCAGTTTTTGACGTCGGGGAGCGCTTCTTCCTTGCTCTTGATGAAGATGGGCGCCATCATCTTCCGGCTCTGAAATCTCTGTCGCTGGTCTCGTGTGTTGTTGTGTTGTGTCTGCTGTCTGTTGGCCTTTGTTAGAGCCGTGTTGGGAGGCGGTGCGCTGGTAGTGCTGGGCTGTGTTGAAGCGACTCACCGACCTGGATGTTGGGGGCTGTAAAGAAGAGCTGGGGGAGGTGGGGTTTTGGTGGTAGCGTTCAATCAGGTCGATCGTTGGGCGCGTGCAGCCGGCGAGCGGTGGCACCGGCGACTTGTGACCCCTGCGGGAGTGTCAGGGCGCGAAGGGCGCTCTGCCTTGCTGCAATGCTTGGTGGCTGCCGCGGAGAGAGGCGGCCACTAGGGGGAATGTCAGAAAGCTTGGGTAGATGTGGCCTCTTGCCTTCTCTCCGCCGGCCACTCCCTATTTCTCCTTTCGCTGCTTTCCTGTACCTGGGCTCTGCCACGTGTGGCGAAACTTCGCGTGGTGATAACACTCATCAGTCGCCCATTGGGCGGTTAATTTGATGTGGCTCAACCAGCGAGAGATATGACCAATGGGCGAGGCACCCGTGCTGCTGTGGGATCTCACCTTTGGGGTTGCTGGGAGTGCGTTATGTAACGGGGATATCTGCCGTCATCCCTCATTCGCTGTTAAAAGTCCGCCAACGATAACACGCGCGGGCTTTAAACACAAACAAAAATTCCAGATTCTTGCTAGCCAATCGCAATTAACGCTTGGTAGATGGTAGCTGTTGATAGTTATCTGTTCGGCGAAACGGGCACCTCCCTGCTTGGCGATTGGGTGGCGGGGCTTACAGGGAACACAACTTTTACAGTTCCCCGCCAGCACCAAAAGAACAACCAACTGACCGGGCAACAGTGCTCTTTTGACAAACACAGAGCAGTACCAGAAGAAGGGAAAGGGCAGCTTACTCGCCGAGCTTCCACTTGCCCTTGACAACACCCCAGGTGCGGTCCTCGTTGAACTGCTTGATGCGCTCCCTGTTGATCTTCTTCCAGAACAGCGGGCCGTCGAGAGGCGTCAGCTCCTTTGGCTTCTTCAAATCTGCGCCCAACAGCTTTGGTAAGCGAAGGTGGCGCAGACAGCACAAAAAAAAATACAAAATTGAAAACAAACACAAAACAAAACAAGCACGAAATTAAAAGACGAGAACGTGCCCACTTCAGCCTTCCACACCCACTCGGGGATGTCGTCCCACGTGGGCACCTGCAGGCCGTAGGCCACCAGCATCTCGTCAATGTACTGATCGCCCTTGTCTGTCATGGGATGATAAATTGACCGTTAAATGAGTAAAAAATAAAACAAATTTGTCTAGTAAGCGGTGTAAATCCCCCTCCCCCCCAATCTCTTAGCAGTCGCAACACGATCTTGATAGATGGCGTACATTCTTTCTTGGGTCGCTCAACGGCACCGCCCCTGCCTCCGGGCTTAGCGTATCCCCTACGCTGCTGCGACAAAAGCGGAAGAGCGCCAGCGTGGCCCACCACGGGCCGGGCCAAAATCGTCCGGCTCGCGGCGCTGCTCACCGCCCTTCGTTGCATCATCATGCTCCTATTCATCTTCAATTCTGATTCCGCTGCCTGAATTTATTTTCGTTTCTTCTTGTTTTTGACTTCTTTCCTTCGGCTGACGTCAGCCTTGAAGCCACCTCGCCTGCACTTTGCACCCACACTGGACACAGCAGGAAGGAAGCATCGCGATGGAATCGAATCAAATCGAACAACAGAAGCAGCAGATCTCACAATTGGAGGCTCAAGTCGCATCGCTCAAGGCGCAATTGGAGGATGCGCTGACGACTGCAGGAGCGCAGGGAGGCCGCAGGAAGAAGATCGAGGAGATGTCTGCTGAGGTGATCGATTCCAACCCCTACAGCCGCCTCATGGCCCTCAAGAGGATGGGAATCGTCGAGAACTATGCCCGCATTCGCGATTTCAGCGTGATCGTGGTCGGCATGGGTGGTGTGGGCAGCGTTGCCGCCGAAATGCTGACCCGCTGCGGCATTGGCAAGCTTATCATGTTCGATTACGACAAGGTCGAGATCGCCAACATGAACAGGTGCCTTCACCTTATGTCCATCTTTTTACATATCTTTTTATTCATTTCGTTCATATCTTTTCTCTGTTCAACAACGCCAGGCTGTTCTTCCGTCCCGACCAGGCGGGCATGACGAAGACGGCCGCGGCCGAGCAGACTCTGAGGGACATCAACCCCGACGTCGATTTTGAAGCGCACACGTACGACATCACGTCCATCGACAACTGGGCACACTTCCTCGACCGGCTCAGCAAGGGCGGCAAGAACGGCCAGAGCGTCGATCTCGTGCTCGGCTGCGTCGACAACTTTGAGGCGCGAGTCGCCGTCAACAAGGTGCGGGCGCTCGTTGCCTCGTCATTCGAAGCTTCTTCTGTCACACACAACTCGCGGCTGACCGAACGTGACCACACACACACACGCACACCACACCACACCGCACAACACAACACAGGCGTGTATGCAGCTGGGCCAGTCGTGGATGGAATCGGGCGTCTCGGAGGACGCCGTGTCGGGACACATTCAGTTCATCATCCCCGGCGAGACCGCCTGCTACGAGTGCGCGCCGCCACTCCTCGTGGCCAGCGGCATCAACGAAAAGTCGCTCAAGCGCGAGGGCGTGTGCGCTGCCTCGCTGCCCACCACCATGGGCGCTGTTGCCGCCATGCTCGTGCAGAACACTCTCAAGTAAGTGTGATCTTAGTGGTTGATTGCATGCTGATCAGCTAAAAGGAACGCTCACGCGTTTTGTGTCGTGTATGTGTTGTCTCCAGGTACCTCCTGGGCTTTGGCGAGGTGTCGTACTATCTCGGCTACAATGCCATGACGGACTACTTCCCCCGCTACGCCATGAAGCCCAACGCCGAGTGCGATAACAAGGACTGCGTCAAGCGCCAGGAGGAGTACAAGGCCAAGCTCGCCGCTGCGCCCAAGGTCGAGCAGAAGAAGCAGGAGGAGCCCGCCAAGCCCAAGCACGAAACCAACGAGGTACTCCACTCCTCACTCTCGCTCAACACTCTGGATCAAGATTTGATGCGATCCCGTGTGCCACCCCACTTCAGTGGGGCATCACGGTGGTGGATGACGAGGATGAGGAGGAGGAGGTGCAAGTGCCCGTCGCCAAGGCCCAGGAGGCGCTGCCCGACGGCCTCGTGCGATCGTTTGATGCGGCCAAGCTGGACGTGAAGGCCGGCGACATCGTGCAGACCGACGACGCCCTCAATCTGGACGACCTTGCCGCCCAGCTCAAGGGCCTCTCTTCCTGAGCTGCGCGTGTGGCCCGAACCGACACCAGCCCCTTGCGATCACAAAAGGTAGACAAAGAGAACCACAACAAAGGGTGTCGTTGCTTGTGCTTGGCTTCTTGTCCGTGACACGACGCGCCAGGCGAACCAGAAACTGAGTTGAACGTTCAAAGAAGGAGCAGGAGTGACGTGGCCACACAGCCACTCCCCAGGCGCCACACGCCAGAAATTCGTCAGCATGTTTGGGCGGTGATGCAATCATTCGTGTCAGGCACGGGTGCGGAAAACACTGCATTCCTCAAATACCTCAAATCACTGCCTCGCGGCTTCTTGGGCGCGCAACGCCGCTGCCAACCCTGCGGCAAACACACGAGAACGAAGTCTCGCGAAGCCCTCTGGCCCCGCAGCTCGCGAAGCAAGTCACGACGGAGGTGAAGTGAAGGAAGAAGGAACTGACTAGTTAGTTAGTTGTTGTCAACACATTCGAGAAGAGACGAGAAGGAAGAGAGTAGAGCAAGGTCCCCGTGTCTCGTCACGCCAACCAACAGCGCGCAGTAGCAACGCGACCGACGGCTAATACTGCCCACCACCTGGAAATACGGGCTTACACGCCACCACCCGCAGTCGCCCAACGCCAACGCAGACCAGACACCATTTGCCGACCTAGACCACACCAAGCTTGAGGAAGAAGAAAGGCACACCATGTCGGCGGCAGCGACCACGACCTCAACCACCACAACCCCGACCACCACGACGACCACGATGACGGCGGAGGAGCGACGAGCTGCAATGGAGCAGAGTTTCGACACGCAGAGCCGGGCGCGGCTGGGCCAGCTGCTGTCGGAGAGTCGCAAAATGCACCGACGCAGCCTGTCGTTCAGCTACTGCCAGGCCCAGGGCGGGGGGCTGGAGACGCTGCTGCTGGCCTGCGAGGTGGCCGACCAGGTCATGGCCAACCTCCGCACTTTTGCCCCCTCGTCCTACCACCACCAGCAGCAGCCGCCCCGGCCCCAGGTGGTCGAGGGGCCGAAGGAGGAGGGCAGCGGCGCCGAGAGCGGAGCAGAGTGGGAGCGGGTGAAGGAAAAGAACGAGAGCGAAGACGAAAAGGAAAAGAGCGAAGAAAAGAGCGAAGCGAAAGCGAAGGGCGTCGCGGACGACGGGAAAAGAACGAAGCGACACACGCGAAGCCTGTCGGAGAGCGGCGTGGCGTCGGCGCTGCAGCAGATGGCCAACGCCAACCAGCGGGCGTGCGACCGACGACGCGCGCAGTGGGAGAAAAAGAAGAAGGCGCAGGAGGAGCTGCGCGAGAAGAAGGAGAGCCTCGGCGACGAAGCGCGGATCGCCGAAGAGCAGCGGAAGGAGCGGGAGCGGCTCGAGAGGGAGCGCAAGGAGCAGGAGGCGCTCGCGGCGAAGAACGAACGGCTCCTGCGGCTCTTTGTCAAACAGGAGCAGCAGTCGACGCCGGAGCCCACGGAGAGCGCCACAGCAGCGGCGATGAACCGCCAAAAGAGCGAAAGCGACAGAGGATTGACCACCACCAAAGAGCGAAAGCGAAGCGAGGAGCAGTCGGGCGGAGGCGGTGGCGACAAGACGCCGAGGGAACGGCGCCAGGCAGGCCATCGGCAGCAGCACAGCGAGTGCGAGAGCGCGGTGGAGGAGAGCGAAGCGGAGGAGGACTGCACCAAAGCGCTGCGAAGCGGAAGCGACATCGAGTCAGCGGAGGAGATCAACCTCGGGGTGGAGGAGTGGGAGCGACAGCAGGAGGAGGACGAGGAGGGAGAGCTGTGGGAAGATGCGGCGGGCGATAAGGACCAGCAGCAGCAGAAGAAGAAGGTCAAACTGGCGCGGCTGATGAAGATCAAGCCCAAGATCATGAGCGGACGAAGGAAGAGCAAGAGGGAGGAAAGAGAGAAGGAGAAAGAGGAAGCGAAGAAGGTGAACGCGAAGAACACCGTTTTACTTCACTCTTCGCCCGTGTAGTTAATGAACAAGCGTGTATGAATAGATGGATGGAGCTTTTCGATCGAACCGTTTTGAACATCAGTTAAAAAATGGAAGCGCATTGGACGCAGGTTAGGGATCGAAACCCTGGCCACTAGGCTGTTCGTCGCTCTTCAGGCTCGTTGAATGGCCCCTAGTAATCGGCGGCCCACTGGCGTTCGCGGACGTCGATGAGACCGAAGGTGAGGTATTGCAAGCCCTGGCGCTGAGCCATCTCGTCGTCCTCGTCGATTCCCTCCAAGAAGAGCTACACCTTCAGTAAATGCGCTACTACTCTTCAGCCGATCGTACTCAAATATCCTAAGTCCTGGGCCAGGCCGCTCACGGTAAATGTTCGGGAAGTCGGTCTAGAGGGGCCTTGAAGAAATCAATCGCTAGATGTAGGCCGATGGTGGCACGGTCTGGATGAAGAAGAAAATGATCTCCCTTCTCTCCTTTATGGCGGTTGGATCTTCAACCGAGGAGGAGCATGCACCTGCTCAACTGTCCGAGGCACCAACGCTGCTCCACCGGCGTGGAGGGTACGGGAGGTGCGGGCAGATATTCCATCACACCAGAGTGGCGGGTGCAAGGTAGGGCTGAGGAGGTGTGCCAAGGATGGGACAAAGCTCACCAAGAGAGACGTACTGAAGAGCGGCAAGCAGGGCAAGGCCGCCGGCAGTTTGAAGAATAAAGCTAAGAAGGACAACACGCCCTTGGAAACCTACTCTCCACGCAGACAATGACGACGAAGAGGCGGGCTGCCTGTACCGAACTGCATACAAAGCACGAAGCAGTCTCGCCTTTGCAGCGCGCCACCTTCTGCTTGGGCGGCTTCGAGCTGACCAACACGACCCAAGAAGAAGCTTTGGCTGGTCTTGCGGCAAAGTGCATTGCATTTCTCAAGGACAAGCATACACAGACGCGCGAGGGAAGGAAGCGCCTCTTTGCCCTCAATCAAGGCCTTTTAGCGACGTCTTTCCACTCGTACTCTACCCACTCGCGCAGCTGATGGCTGAAAGTTTAGTTCAAGTAATTAAACGCGCAAGCGAGAAAAAGAAGAGGTGCTACCTGACAGGGGCACCGGTTGAGAAATTTGATGGCCTTCGGCGTAAGCGCCGCATACTGGAGGAAGGGGTCCCCCCTCTCCTCGATCGCGTCACACTGCTCCCATTTCTGCCATGTGGGTGAGCATGCTTAGTTGCGCGAGCGACAAAAAAAACTGGGGTTGTAAGGGCGTGCCGCCGGGTTCAGGCCCGCGAGCAGAGGTCCAATTATGAAGTCGAACTTGGACGCCGCGGCTGTTTCGTTGATGGGGTTTCTGTTGTGGAAGACAAACTGGGTAACGGTAAGTATTAGGTGATGGACACCACAAGGGCTGCGCGGGCCAGAACGACGTACTTGTTTCCACTCGTCATCAGGTCCGTCGAACACCTTCCGTGCGTATCGCTCTAGCATCCTCGTGTTCACCGTGAAGGCCAAGTAGGCCGGCACCGGATTCTGCTGCCTTTGAGAGGCTTTATCACGCGCCCATCTCTTTGCCCGCACTTCGTTGTTGCCCAGGTAGAACGCCCTCTTGATGGCGAAGTCGGTGTTCTTGCGTCCCTCGCTCAGGTCGATTCCGTTGTGAAAGATGTTCGCGGCAAAGCCGGCTGTGGTCCCGTGGTAGAGAGTGATGACCTTCTCTTCCTCCTTCCCGGCGTTGGTTCTTGTCCTCCCACCTTCCTCATTGTCGCTGTCATCGCCGCGGCCGCGGCCACGGCCACGGCCACGACCACGGCCGTCGCCGCGGCCGCCGCCCTTCCTGTCTCCGCTCCGGCCACCCAGGTCGCGGCCGCCGCGGCCAGTTGACCCTTTCGGTTTGGTCTCGCCATCTTCGGGCTCGTCTGAACGCGCGTAGTAGTCGGCGGCCCAACGGTGAATGCCGCAGTCGATGAGATCGAAGGCGACGTTCCTCAAGCCCCGATGGTGCACGATGTCGCGATCTTTGATCCTTGCGACGAAGCTATCAACGACAGCCCGCCTGAAACCAAGGGCCACGAGCAACATCGAAAGGTCATCTGTTGGTGGAGAGCATGATCACTTAGCGCAAGACCTTATGCATACCCAAGAGGGGTGGCATACCTCCAGCAAGGCTGCCAGCAGCCTTCTGTCTATCATACTGGGCTGATATAAGGTCCTCAGCGAGGCCACGCACGGTTAGATGCGAGGGAAGCCAGCAATAAACCTGCGAGAAGAACTCGATCGCCAGGTGGTCTTTCAGCCCGATGGCGAACATGGTCTCGATGAGGAAGTGAATGGTTCCCATTCGATGAGACTCGGGCAGGGGAGGTGTTGGTTCTTCCGCCAGATCTGGAGGAGCAGGTGCAAGGTCAAGCTGATGAAGAGCTGACGCAAGGCTAAGCTCATGAAGAGCTGGTATGAGGTCATGCTGGGGATGAGCTGGTCCATGGCTTGGAATACGTTCAGTTGGCTGCAACAGGAGAGGGTAAAGCAAGCTTGGGTGAAGTCCTTGATGCATAAATCAGAGGGGGTTGGGTCATGTACCAATGGTACTAGAGCAAGGGTATCACCAAGACACAAAACAGACAGTTGACCAGGTAATGCCTCTGCAAGTTCCCAGGGACACCGAAAGCTTGAGGTTACCTTGAGGTCCCCATCCTGTCACAAGTGGCAACCAGACCATTAAGCCTCCGCCCAGTCTCAAAAAAAGTACAGGGCAGCATACCACAAATGAAGCAACACACTGAGAGGTGCATTTTGCATCCTGAGCAGAGGAGGTCCATTCCCCATCCAAGTAGAGGGCCTGGAGATGGTCTCCACGTTTGGCAATGGCTGCTGCGTCCCATACTGATGCAGTCTGCCAAGGACACTAGTTCAGTAATGCCACCAACCAATAGCAGCCAAGAAAATGAGCTGTACCGTAACACCAAGAGAGACAAGGCTCATCCAGACACGGGCGAGGTGAGAGAGGAGATATGCAATCTCAACTGAAATGGCGTGACCACGCAGGTCAAGGAACTTTATCCTGGAGTGAACTAGCCTCATGATGAGGTCGTAATCATCTGCAGTTACCTCAAACCCACGCAAATCGAGCTTCTGAAGCATGAGTGAGTATCTTGCCCCCAAAAAGAGTGGGCACCAATATGAGACATGTTTAAGTACCTCGACAGTGAGGGGCTCAGTAGCAATACTCCTGAGAAGAGCCCGCACCAGATCAGGATTGGCTTCATGGAGATCAAGCTCTTTCGGCCTCACCTGTCCCAGGAATTGCTGCAGGGCTTCAGTTCTTTCCAAGGTCAGCTTAGCCTGAAACAGCAAACACCTCTGTTAGTGAAAGACCCCACGAGAGGCAAAAGGGCAAACAGGAGTGTATGTACGCCTCCGACAATGGAGAGTCTCTTGATCGGAATGGAGAGCTGCACTTCCTCCGGGGCTGAAGTCACAGGCTGTTTCTCAAACAAGGTAAGTGCATGGAGTGAGCAGGGTCTGGTTGTTGTGAGTTTGACATACCGCGTCCAGTTGAAGCTTGTACAAAGCCCGTCGTGGTTCCTGGGAGCGGCGCCAGTGACTCAGTCAAACGACATCTTTTTCTTTGGCGGCCATGCGTATTTGCCCCGTACCTTCTTCACAAGGCTATCGGGTGCTTCATGCGTCTCCAAAACAGCAGACCATTCTTTGCTCAAGCGAACTGCTGTGGCCTCAAGAGCTTTGGTCTTACGATCACAGAAAAAGAAGTAAATGAGCTCAATGGAGAGAAGTACAATGCCAACCAAAAGCGTACCTTGCCCTCTCCTGGAACAAGCTTGGCGGCGCGTTCAAACAGTTCGTTGATCCCCTCCTCCGACAACTGGCCAAGAAAACGATCAGGAAACAAAAATTAAAAAACAAGGGCGGAGTACACATACCCACCGAGCCTCACGAGGGGCGACGAAGATGTCGTCGCTGGTGTGATGCGGAAAGATGAGTGGGGGTGAGCAGGCCGAAATTGAAGCATTGATGCCTCTACAATAGCAAAAAATTAATTAGGTCCGAACATACCAGACCAATTCGAACGCCTGTCGATTAACTGGAACTTCCATCTTGAAGCTTCGAGTCGGGGGTGCGTGGCTGTTGTTTTCAATTCCTTGCAACGAAGAATGCGCGTGGTTCTTGTGAATTACTTCATTCTTCCCTTCATTCTTTGCGGCATCGTCATTCGCTCTTTCTTCATTCTTTGCCTTCCTCCGAAATCACGCCCCGCGAGTGTCCCTCGTGCCCCTGGCTGTACCGCTCTCAGGCGCCGAGCAGCTGCGCTGTCGCAAGACCGACGAAGAACAACTCGCAAACTGAAGCACGCAAAGCTTGATGAGCAGAGGGCAAGGTGATGTTAGAACAGGAACCTGCAACGGCCAAAAGGAAATGTGATGATGTGATTCACTGGCACGCCAAGACTGAAAGACAGAAGTGTTCATTGGGCTAAATGTCAACAAAGCCAGTGAGCTATGCGCGTGGGATGTCGATGTTGTGCTTCTTGCAGGGAAGCGAGGGGGCGTAGGCTCAGGTGCGGGTGTATCACTCGCAAAAACGCGCTGGCAGTGAGAGGGGGAGGCAGTACTGTTGTTAGGTTGGTGTAAAAGATGTTGTTGTGGTGCTCCCCCAATATTGTGCAATTACATTGGTTTCATCACCTTTTTATGTGACACTTAGTTGAGGCTATTTTCTGCATATTTGCCCAACCCGCTTCTGTTAAAGTGGGATAAAACCCAGATCGTTGTAAAACTGCTTGCAAAGTTGGGGCGGGGGATGAAACTGATGTAATTGCACAATAAACGCTCCTCTCACTCCTGTTAGTGGCCCTAAAAGTAAACACAAAGTGAGAACCTGCTGGCATGCAGCCCCTTGCTGTCCTCTTGTAGGATGAAACATGTGAACTTGATCATGTCAGCCCAGTGTTTGCAGGTTTCAAAGTTCACAAACATGAAGCTTAGCTTGGTCTCCTCATCACTGTTGTTGTCTACTGTTCTTCTCTTCTTCTTCCCATCACTGACATTGCCATAGAGCCAATACATGTCAGCCTTCCACAATCACCTCATCCTGGCCATCTTCTCAAGATTCTCATTGGTGAAGTTGCTCTGCTGAAGCAGGTGAAGAATGTCTATGTGCTGTTCCCAGCAGAGCTGTTCCTCTGCTGGGAGCCCATCAGGCAGACCTCCATAATCTGCATGAGACTCTCCATCTTGCTGCCCATGAGAGAAACAATACTCTTGATGGTGTGTGTTAGTAGTAATAAAAAAGACAATGGTGGACCATGACATACCATCTTGCCTTGCTTCTTAACAAAGTTGAAGTGTGTAGTGAAGCCATCCTTGCCTGGAAAGGCACCATTGTTCTTGATGTGCCTGTTTAACTCCTCACTGATATTGTGCTTTGTGCACATGTAGTGCAGGTGTCTCTGTCACACAACTGTTAGTGGAAACAACAACAATGACAATGAACACAACACAAATCTGCCTCCACATGTGTGCATACCTTGAACAGTCCAGCAACTTGAGGTGAAGAAAACAGATGCCAAAGCACAAGAAGAACAAACACCTCATCCACCAAAGCTCACCAAATGGACTGGCAGCCTTGGTGCTCCAGCTGTTATACTTGATCTCAAGCATGTCACCCTTCTCCCCACACCAACCCAAGCTCACCTTGTGGAGCGCCACCTTGAACCTCCTGCCAGGAGTGGGGATCCCTCTTGCCTGGCTTGTGGATGAGCTTGCCTGTGTCTGCCTGCTTGCATGGCCAGTCCGTGACTGGGAACAACATTGCCAGCTTCTGGCAGTATCAGCAAGGCGCCCATCCACATCCAGCAAGCCCTGTACACCATGTATGGTAAAATAATAAGGTGAGATTGCACCTACCTGCAAGCTTCACCTGTGAGGGATGATTTGATGATAAAAAAATGAAAGAAGTCCTTCCTTTCACATTCTTGAAACCGCCCACACTTGCAAGGATGGCCCACCATTGATTGTGGCAGGAGGAGAAATCATCCCTTCCACAGCTGAAGAAGATGTGCAGATGTTCATGAAGGACTACCATTCCTCTGCCTCTCCATGGATGGGTCCCTATTCCTTCCTCAACATCTGTCCCTCTGACTCTCCCCTTCCTCTTCTCCTGGCTCAGCTTGATACCACCATCCTCAAGGATACCCTCTCTGCCCTCACTGAGCTCAACAATGCCCAGGCCATGAAGAAATCCTACCAGGATCTTGTCTCTCTCTTCAATAGGCCACCTCCAGAGCAGCTCACCAGTGACCCATTTGGCTGGGTTTATTGGTACAAACATGCTCAGAATGACCTTCTCTCTGACCTGGAGCCATTGGATCAGCCCATCAATGCTTCCATCAGTCTCACTGGAAGTGCTACACTTGAGCTGACATCAGTGAAGCCAGATGATGGAGCCATTGTGGCAATTGCTGGTGAGAAAGGAGCTGTGTGGCTTGGTGTGGTCAGTTCAAACCACCCATGCACACATATTCCTTAACTGGCTGGATGAAGCAACAGATGGGCCCTACCACTTGACTGCTGACCCACCCACCTCTCTCTCCTACAATTCCCTCTTGTGTGCAGATGTTTCACTGGATCTCAACAACCAGATGAGACCTGCGCTCCAGTCATGGCTTCTTAGCATGTGGAAAGACTGGCCTGATCTGGATGAAGACTCTGGTCACCTTAGCCCAACCTGCACTGAAGAACTGCCTGATCCTGAGCTGCTCAGGAGGGGAAAAAGAAGGAAGTAAGTTGTTGTTCAGCTGAGGTTTGTTACAGCGCCCTGCATATGGCATGTTGGGCTGACTGGGCAAACCTCTTGATGTACCTTTTGAACCTCCATGACAAGTGCTCACTCCAACCCATCTCAACAGTTTTATCATGTACACATACATGATGACAAAAACTGTAAAACTGGATGCTTACTTTATTGTGTACATGTACATGATGACTACACATTCAACCTACCATTTGATTGTTTATCACAGATGTGTTGGTGCAAAGTAAAATCTGACTCTACCTTGTTTTGTGTTGGTGCTCCTTGGAACAACCTCAAAATGCACCTTGCTTTTGCTTTCACCCCCTCCATCAATTCTGTAATCAGTGGCCAACATGCTGCCCTCACTTCCAGTTCATGTACAACCTCACGCCATATTCAGTCAGTTGCACTCATGGATGGAACTTCGTTCTTCACATTTGTGCTGAATTGGAGCACTATTCCTGAAGTTAAAATTCCACTCCATTTCACACTGATAAAATCACTTTTAACTCCACAAAATCCAAGTTTTTACGAAACCATTTTCATCTCAAGTCTCTCAATATCACTTATATGCAGCAGTCTAGCATGTCAAAATCACATGTGCATATCCAGATCTTCAAAACTGCCCTATAAATCAAATATGTCAAATCTCACACGATTTTAGCACAACACAAATTCTGCAGTCATTTGTGACCTCTCATTTCAAATGACCACAAGTTCAAGATGAATACACATCCATTCAACTGAGCTCATGCAGGATCCCATTTGGGGTGATTTGTGAAGGCCATCAGCAACACATGCACCTTGCCTGTCCAAACCTGCCAGATGTGTGAGCCATGACGTAGGAGTGGTGGTGATGTGTACCCTGCCATGCTGGCTTGTGTGGTCAACAAGAAACCAATGACAAAATGCCACCTCAGCATGTCTGTGATCAGCATGCTTTCTCATAGACCAGGCATCTGGAGTCTGGCCAAGCAACAATGACTCTGCAGCAAGATTGCATGTGGTGAGATGAAAGGAGAGGCTGCAGCACAAGATGAGAGGCACCATTACTACATTGCTTGAGAAATGGTACCAGCACTCTTCACAACCTTGTTCTGAGAGCATGTCCTTCAGCATTTGGCAGGCATCCCCAGGGTTTCACCTTGTCACAGTCTGCAATGTTGTGCTCCAGCATGTCAACTCAGCTTGAAGCACTTATCTGCCCTGGAAGTATGTTATGTGTCCCCATGGAGGTTGCTACCTTATTGCAGAGCCTGTTTCAAAGGCGTAATGGAGAGACCACACATGTGTCAGTGGCTTCTCCTCTTCAATGTCACTCATCTCTTTCTCCTCCTTGTTGTCATCCTCATCTTTGGCACTTTCCTCCTCCACTTTCCTTGCTGTCACTGCACAACCTTTGCCCTTGCACTTTGCTGCCCTGATGTGCTTGGCCAGTGCCTCAGTCTTCTACTCCTCCTCATCATTGCTGCCCTCCAACTCTACCACCTCACTACTTTCATCACTCTCCTGGGCGCCACAGGCTTCATTTCCTCCTTGCTGCACTTGAGGATGCCCTTGAGCAGGGTGTTCAAAGCCTAATTGGTGGGTGTCTTGGCCAGTGCCTTGGTCTCCCACTCTTCCTCCTGCTCCTCCACAATGCCCTCCACCTCTGCCTCCTCCTCTTCCTGGATGCCCAGAGCCTCCACCTCACTACCTTTGTCACTCTCCTTGGGTGTCATTTCCACCTTGCACTTACCTTCAGTCCTGGCATGCTTGGTGGGCATCTTCCCTTGACCCCTGTCTTCCACTTTGTCCTTCTCCACCTGTCTGCAGTGTTGATGAACAACTGCCATGGCGCCCACTAGCTGGTGCCTTGCCTTCCACTGCCTGTTCCTCCTCCTCCTCCTCCTCTGCCTCCACCTCTGCCTCTGACCTCTTGCTGCTGACTTTTGCAGATGGAAGAGCCCTGTACTTCTCCTCCACCTTATCACACATCTCCTTGCTAACAACATAGACCCACACTGGCGCCCCTTGCTGGAATACCACTTCTTGTGCATGAAAGAGCTCCACACACTCACACAACCATTCAAAGTTCCATGACAGGCAGTCTATTGTGTTGGAGGCGCAACAATTACCCCCATTATTGAATGAGACTCAGCAAAATGCAAAATGGGGTGGCTTGCAAAAGGTACCCTGATCACCAACACCAAAGAACTTGGCCCAGCCAAACACACAGTTGACCACAGCATTGTCCTCAGGACAGGTGATGGTCAGAAGACACATTGCCTTGGCAGCAGGACCAGCATGCTGTGTGGACTGCCCCCTGCCACACATATGTGTTTCAATCATTAAGGTCAGCAAGAGCAAAGTCACATGGCAAGCAGGTAGTGTGTGCCCTAAACCAGGTACTGCCAAGCAATGTAGAGCAAGTTCAGCCTTGTGGTGCTCTTCTTGGCCTGTGGCCAAACCTCCCAGTCCTGTTCACTTTCAATCACAAAGTTACACTGTGCCAGCCACCCCCACAAGTATGAGTAGTTGTGTTGTTAGTGAAGGAGTGTGCTGACATACATACATCAGAGGCAGAAGATGCATGCACTGGGTAGCAACAAGACAGGCATGTGAGCAACTGAATGCTCAGCATTGAGAGTTTCTGCCCCAACTTGTTGTTTGGCGCTTGAGACACAAGCTTACCTCCAGGCAGCTCCTGCACTAGGTCCACCAATGTGATGATGAGGTGTGCAAGGGACATGACACTGTGGAACAGCTTGACTTGTTCATCTTTCACATAAATCAGGCTTACATCACAAAAGTGTACCTCTGTTGTTGGTACACAAAAAGTGAGGACACAAGCAAGCAAGTTGAATCATTTGAACAAGGTATTATGATTGTGGCACATTTTTATATAACCTCACATCGTCAGCAGCGCCCCCCCCCCAATCACATTCTGTTGAAGTAGGGTTCACTGCTCTTCACCATCTTATTCTTGTTGAGACAAAATGATTGAAATGGGTACAACTACATGTTGTCTTGGTCACTCCCACTTCATCTTGGTCCATGCAGCTGTGCCCATGGCATAAAAGACAGAGAAACCACAACAAAAGCATGTGACACTGTAAAAATTAATGTAAAACGCCTGATTTCATTGGAGTGAAATTAAAGTCCACTACCACCATGAACAGGTGGTGGCAACACCATGTGTTGTGACAGGCACAACATGTGTTGAGATGTGGGAGTTGGAGAAAGCACCTTGGAGTAAGTGCCAGCCCAAGAGGTACCTGAGGTAAGTCCTGTTTTTTGTTTCCCCCTTCTCTGCTGCTTTCCTTGCACCAGCTCTAATTCTACTTGTGTGCAAGCCACCCGTAAAAATGTGAAACACGAATAATCTGAAATATATAAAGAATGAGCCCAGTTTCTGGTGGCACGGCAACCCCACTCCGTCTCCACATGTCTCCCTGCTTCTTCGCTAACCGTAGACTCTTCCCTCCCACTTTCCCCCTTCTCCTTCTTCTCCTTCTTCTCCTTCTTGTAGTGCAAGATCCTCTTGTTCAACAGATCTGCTGAGAGGATCTTCGGCTACTCCAGGAAGGAGGTGCGCCTCCTCTTCCACCACCACTTCCCTCCTTCCTTTCATCATGTGCGAGCGAGGGCGAGGGCGGCGGCGCAAACGAGGATGAGCAGGACGTCGAGATGGGTGTGTTGCGCAAAAACTCGAGTGACAGCATTGTTACACGATTTCGAGAATACACAACCTTTCCATCCACTTGAGGGTGTGCGCGTTACTACCAGAATCCGAGCTTTTCGCCATGGCGAAAAAAAAAATCCTTAAGTCCACGCAACCGATGAAAATTAGGACAAGCATACACAGAGTGAGATGGTGGAAGGAAAAAAAGCGCCCTGCCCTCAATCACGCCGCAGGCCGTTGAGCGACCACGACCCACTTGCCAGTGTCCCATTTGCACAGCTGATGGCTGAAAGTTAGCAAGTCAAAGCCAAACCAAAGTGCAAGCGAGAGAAAGGAAGGTGCGCACCTTGCAGGGGGACCGGTTGAGAAAGTCGACGGCTCTCGGCGTCAGCGCTGCATACTGGCGGAAGGGGTATCTGGCATCGCTCATCTCTTCACAGTCTTCCCATTTCTGTGGGAAAGCGTGCTTAGTGGCGTGAGCCACAAAAAAGCTGGGTGTGTCTGGAGCGTGCCGTAAGTTGGAGTTTTGCGAGCGCAGGCCCAATGACGAAATCGAACTCTTCCTGCTCCTCTTCTTCACACATGTCCGCGTAATTGGCGCCATGCCCAGTCGCCACAGGTTTTCTGTTGTGGAAGACAAACTGGGGTAACGGTCAGCAGGTGTTCCAGTGGCAGGGACTGCGTGGGCGAAAACGTACTTTTTTTCCACTCGTCGTCAGCTCTGCCGAACTCCTTCCGCCTGTGTTTCGCAAGCATCCTTGTGTTCACCGTGAAGACCAAGTAGGCTGGTACCGGGTCCCACCCCCTGCTGGCAGCTTTTTGATCCGCCCATCTCTGTGCCAGCGAAGCGTTGTTGCCCAGGTAGAACGCGCTCTCGATGGCGAAGTCAGTGTTCTCGCGTCCACGGCGCAGGTCGACTCTGCGAAAAGCGTTCCTCGCGGCCTCGAACGTGGTCCCATGGAAGAGGGTGATGACCTCCTCTTCACCTCCTCCTTCTTCTTCCTCCTCCTCCTCCTCCCTGGCATTGGTTCTCTTCCTCTTTCTTCCCTCATTGTCGCTGTCGTCGCCCCGGCCACCGCCTCGGCCACCGCCCTGGCCACCGCCTCGGCCACGGCCACCGTTCCCCAGGTCGCGGCCACCACGGCCAGCCGACCCTTTCCGTTTGGTCTCGCCATCTTCTGGCTCGTCCGAATGGGTGTAGAAGTTGGCAGCCCAACGGTGAATGCCGGAGTCGATGAGATCAAATGCGACGTTCCTCAAGCCCTGATGGTGCACGATCTCGCGGTCTTTTACACTTGCGATGAAGCTGTCAACAACGGCCCGCTGGAAACCAATGGCCACGAGCGACGCCAAAAGGTCATCTGTTGGAGGAGATGATCACTAAGTGCAAGACTTGATGAATACCCACAAGAGGGGTGGCATACCTCCAGTGAGTGCGCCAGCAGCCTTCCGCTGATCATACTCGGCTGTGATCAGGTCCTGGGCGAGGCCGCGCACGGTTAGATGCGAGGGAAGCCAGCAATAGACCTTCAAGAAGAACCCAGTCGCCAGGCGGTCTTCCAGCCCAATGGCAGACATGGTCTCGATGAGGAAGCGAATGGTTCCCTTTCGCTGAAACTCGGGGAGGCGAGGAGTATTTCGATCTTCCGCCAGGTCTGGAGGAATAGGTGCAAGGTCAAGCTGACGAGGAGCTGGTACAACAGCATGCTTAGGACGAGCTGATCTGCGACTTAGCTGCAACAAGAGGGGTAACGCAAGCTTTTGTTAAGTCCTTAATGCATAAATCAGCAAGGGGTGTGGGTCATGTACCAATGGTGCAAGAGCAAGGGTATCACCAATACGCAAAATGGACAGATGGGCAGGCAATTCCTCCATGAGTATTGAGGGACACTGAAAGCTTGAGGTCACCTTGAGGTCCCCATCCTGTCACAAGCGGCAAACCAGACCATTAAGCCTCCGCCCAGTCTCAAAAAAAGTAGAGGAGCATACCACAAATGAAGCAACACACTGAGAGGCGTATGTTGCATCCTGAGCAAAGGAGGTCCATTCCCCATCCAAGTAGAGGGCCTGGAGACGGTATCCACGTTTGGCAATGACTGCTGCCTCCCATTCCGACACAGTCTGCCAAGGATACTAGTTCAGTAATGCCACCAACCAATAGCAGCCAAGAAAATGAGCTGTACCGTAACACCAAGAGAGACAAGTGTGAGGTGAGCGAGGAGATGTGCAATCTCACCTGAAATGGCGTGACCACGCAGGTCAAGGAACTTTATCCTACGGAAGTGACCTAGCCTCATGATGAGGTCGTAATCATCTGCAGTTACCTCAAACCCACGCAAATCGAGCTTCTGAAGCATGAATGAGTATACCTTGCCCAAAAAGAGTGCACACCAACATGAGATAGGTTTAAGTACCTTGAACACATGCTCTCCCTTGGGCTCAGTAGAAAGACGCTTGAGAAGAGCCCGCACCAGAGCAGGATTGGCTTCATGGAGATCAAGCTCTTTCGGCCTCACCTGTTGTAGGAATTGCTGCAGGGCTTCGGTTCTTTCCAAGGTCAGCTTCGCCTGAAACAGCAAACACCTCTGTTAGTGGAAGACTCCACGAGGCAAAAGGGCGAACAGGAGTGCATGTACGCCTCCGACAATGGAGAGCCTCTTGATCGGCATGGAGAGCTGCACTTCCTCCGGGGCTGAAGTCACAGGCTGTTTCTCAAACAAGGTAAGTGCATGGAGTGAGCATGGTCTGGTTGTTGTGAGTTTGACATACCGCGTCAAGTTGAAGCTTGTGCAAAGCCCGTCGTGGTTTCTGGGAGCCGCTCAACAAATCTATTTCTTTGGCGGCCATGGGCGTGCCACGGACCTCCTTCACAAGGCTGGAGGGTACTTCATGCACCTCCAAAACAGCGGACCATTCTTTGCTCAAGCGGACTGCTGTGGCCTGAGCTTTGGTCTTCGATCACAGAAAAAGGAGTAAATGAGCTCAATGGAGAAGTAGAACGCCAACCAAAAGCGTACCTTGCCCTCTCCTGGCACACGCTTGGCAGCGCGTTCAAACAGTTCGTTGATCCCCTTCTCCCGGGACAACTGGCCAAGAAAACGATCAGGAAACAAAAATTTAAAAACAAGGGCGGAGTACACATACCCACCGAGCCTCACGAGGGGCGACGAAGATGTCGTCGCTGGTGTGATGTGGAAAGATGAGTGGGGTGAGCAGGCCGAAATTGAAGCATTGATACCTCTACAATGGCAAAAAATTAATTAGGTCGAACATACCAGACCAATTCGAACGCCTGTCGATCAACGGGTACTTCCATCTTGAACAGCTTCGAGTGGGGGTGTCCACGCGTGGCTGTTGTTTTCAATTCCTTGCAACGAAGAATGCGCGTGGTTCTTGTGAATTACTTCATTCTTCCCTTCATTCTTTGCGGCATCGTCATTCGCTCTTTCTTCATTCTTTGCCTTCCTCCGAAATCACGCCCCGCGAGTGTCCCTCGTGCCCCTGGCTACAGGCTGCAGCCTGCTCAGGCGCCGAGCATCTGCGCTTTCGCAAGACCGACGAAGAACAACTCGCAAACTGTCAGACACGCAAGGCTTGATGAGCGAGCAGAGGGCAAGGTGATGTTAGAACAGGAACCTGCAACGGCCAAAAGGAAATGTGATGCCGTGATTCACAGCAAACTGGGACACGCAAAGACTGAAAGTGTTCATTGGGCCAAATGTCAACAAAGCCAGCGAGCTATGCGCGTGGGATGTCGATGTTGTGCTTCTTGACGAACTCAAGAAGGTCGTGGAGCAGCAAGGCGTGGTCGAAGGCCATCTTGTCGGTTTGGCCCTTGAGCTCCTCCACATCGTAGAAGTCGGCGTGAGCTGCATCATCACCCGCCTGGCGCCGCACCCAACATGAAAGCCCCCTCAGCTCCAACAGCCAGCACCCTCACCATCACCCTTGGCCGCAACGTACCTTCATAGTCGAGAAATCCTTGACAGTGACGTAGTAGAAGGTGCTCACCGTGTGTCCACGCGGATGTTGACACGAGTTAAGGAGACCACAACGACACACGACACACACACACACCGCACACGCTCACACGACACACGACACACGACACACAACGCGGGGGGGAGGTGAGAGGATATCACGAGCGGGGTCGCCGTAAACGCCGACGAGCTGCGGGTCGGTGCCGACGAGGGACGTCTCTTCCTGCAGTTCGCGGAGGGCGGCGTGCTTGGGCTCCTCCCCGTACTCCACGAACCCGCCCGGGAAGGCGAGGCAGCCGTGGAAGGTGCGGCCGCCTCGCTTGATCATCAGCAGCTCGCGCTTGCCCTCTCGCTCGCGCATGACCGCAATGTCGGCCGCCAGCGATGGCGACTTGCGCTGCTTGGTCGTGCTACTCATCGGTCT